ATCAAGAGGAAATGCTGCCAGCAGCTCATCCCTGTGCTGGGAGGTTTCCTGCACAGAACATCTCCAGGAGCAGGGAGAGCAGTAACCATGGCAATGGCAGGGATTCCTCAGGGATCAGCACTTTCCCACTCCAGGAGCACATCCCCTCTCTCTGGTGCGTGCTGTGGATTCGGGGTCACTCCACGCTGCCTTCATGTCCCTAAAACATAACATTTCTGCGGCCTATACAATGGAAATTTGTTTTCTCCAGCAGCTCTGTCTCAGCCCAAGGGTTTGGGGAGCATTTTGCATCTCAAGCCCCATAATCCCCACCCTTGGACGTCCCACCAGAGCAGGAAGCGCTGCTGGTGCTCCTGATGTGGTTTCATTTCACTGAGCAAATTTCTGCTCTCTCAGGTGACTCAGAGCCTCTCAATGAGGTGTCAGCACGTGCTGCTTGCCACAAAGAAAGTAAAGATTAATTAATTCTGTTTTTTTCAGTTGGTTTGTTTTTTTTTTTGGTTTTTTTTTAAAGTTTTTGTCTTTTCCAGCTCATGAGTGAGGTGCCCACATAACAAAGCTCTGAGAAGCTGCCCCTGGCTGGGTGTGAGGATTTCCTTGTCCCAGCAAGGACATGGAAGTGTTCACCTGATCCTGATCCTTTGGGGGAGAAAAGGAAAGTGAAATCAAACTTTGGGCTTTGTGCAGCCTGACTGCTCCTGTGCCCAGAGCAGCAAAGGAAATTATTGTTGTTATTATTGCTGTTGATATTGTTTTATTCATTGAAAAATGGACTGAGCTGGGCTGGAAGAGACCTTAAAAGCCATCCCATCCCATCCCATAATTATTGTTGTTATTATTGCTGTTGATATTGTTTTATTCATTGAAAAATGGACTGAGCTGGGCTGGAAGAGACCTTAAAAGCCATCCCATCCCACCCCTGCCACGGCAGGGACRCCTCCCACTGTCCCAGGCTGCTCCCAGCCCCAATGTCCAGCCTGGCCTTGGGCACTCAAAGGGATCCAGGGGCAGCCACAGCTTCTCTGGGCACCCTGTGCCAGGGCCTGCCCACCCTCGCAGCCAAGAATTCTTCTCTAAGMACTCCTAATATTTATATTATTATTTGACAGACCTCATCTTTGCTCTTCTGGCTCACCAAAAATGGAGCTGCATCCCTGTTTATCCGCAGAAAAGCTCTTTTCCAATATGTAAAATTGCAGCAATCAGCTCAAAGGCTCCTTCCCAGATCCGACAGGATGACTGATGCAAGCTGTCAGCCAATATTTGACTTTCCAGGTGAGATTAGATTTAGCTTTTAATTTAATATAAACATAAAGTGTGCAGTGAAAGGCACTTATTTCACAGGCAGCTGCTCCCAGCCTCGTGCAGCCTGGAGGCTCCTTAAAGACATCCCTGCTCTTTTTGGGAGTTTTATCCCATTATCCAGTGGAGTTTGAAAATCCTGAGAGCTCTGAATCTCCTTAGAGAAGCACACAGCAAAGGTAAGTTGCTGTTTGYAATTCTTTGTTTCAGTTTAAAAAAGCATGGCAATTTTTGTTGTTAATCAACCAAAAAAACAGATTTTACAGACAGTAGAGGCAGTTTGGATTTATATTCCCTCATTTACTTTCATTAATTACCTTTATCCCCCATATCTGAGCACATGTGAGGGTAGAACTGCAGCAGGATCCACCTGCACGTGTTACCCGAATCCTTGTGTGTGCACACAAGGCTGAATTCCTCAATTCCAGCTGGAAAGACATCCCAAATTTCTTACAGAAATACAAATTCCCCTCTTCCCTTGGAGCTACTTGTTTGCTTGAGAAGCACTGGAAACAAAGGGGTTTTTTTGGGATGTTTTCCACAGGTTTTAGGGCTTGGCTGGTCTGAAGAACTGAAGGAATTGCCGCAATTAAAGTGGGAGAGGCTGGGTGGGGATGGGCTCTGGTGGAAATGGGTTCAGGGTATGAATGGGCTCAGGTGGGAATGGCCTCTGGAGGTGGATTCTCCCATGGGACACACACCTSGTTCATGGGGCTCTGAGCAGCACTGGGAACTGAATTTTAGGATAAATGTGAGAGGGGGTGGATCAAATGTGGCTTTACAGCACCAGGCAGTGTCCCTGCCCCATTGGGGACTGTCCCAAATGGTCACTGAGGTCACTCCAGGGATGGGGGTTCAGCCTCCCTGTCCCTCCCATGTCTTTGTCTTCTCCTCAGGGGAAATCCTTCTTCCCTTGGAGTTTCACCTCTGTAGGGAAGGGGCAGTGCCTGATCCCGTGAGAGGGGCCATGGGGGCCTTCCCCAAAGCTGCCCACAGAGCAAAGGGACCTGAGTGGGCAGCAGGATGGTCAGAGGGATGGAGCAGCTGTGCTGGGAGGAAAGGSTGGGAGAGCTGGGATTGTTCAGCCTGGACAGGAGAAGCTTTGGGCTGAGCTCGCTCTGGCCTTGCAGGGCCTGAAGGAGCCCACAGAAACCATAGAGAGAGACAATTTGCAAGAGCTGCAGGGACAGGAGCCAGGGAATGGCTTCCCAGTGCCAGAGGGCAGGGCCAGATGGGATATTGGGCAGGAATTGTTCCCTGGGAGGGTG